TTTTTGTCTTAACAAAATTATTATACACTCGTTTAAAAAAGTGTTGATTTTTGTTTTATTAATTTTAGCTGAAAGCAATTGGCACTCGTTAGTATCATCTTAGGCAAGTGCAATAGCCTAAATGCTCTGATTATAAATTTCCTGTTGGGTTTTGTTACTGATTTGTCAGTTTAGCCAAAATAAGCCTTTTTCTTAGAAAAATTATTATTTCAAATCCAAATCATGTTGTAACTTTATTGGGCATTCTAGTAATACAGCGCACTAGAACCCATTTTTTGAGGACTCGGTTGTGTTGGTGCGAATGAAGTTTTGTTGGGGTTGACATGGCTTGTCGATTCTGACGATGGTTGAGGCAAGTTCTTCCCACTGCCAAAGTGGTGTACACGAAGCATCGAAGAGGGCTGCATTCATCAAGCTGTACCAAGGGAGAAATCGGACATTTGATGTGGCCAGCTGCAGTTGGACCGGTCGAAATCGGATCATACAAAAAGGTTGAAGGGATGATTGCGGAATAAGTCAAGCTATTTTGACGGGAATTACTAGTTTTCTCAAATTTATTGGCATGCCGCAAGAAAAATGTGCCTATAAGCACGGATCAGGTTCGGTCTTGGCGAGTGCATTCGAGGCGGGAAGACTCACACTCGTCCGGCACACATGCCTATGAATACACGTACAGACGTGCATAATTCATGCCACAAACCGCTGTATGTACAATACACTATTTTAAAGTGTGGTTGAGGCAACAATTGAAAAAAAGATCTAATAAGCCAAACCGGACGTAATTCTGTCGGTATTTTTCGAATCTTCCAAATATTTTTGTAATAAAAGCCTTGAAATAAGCTCTGTTGATTGTGTGGAAACTTACTTATTTCGTATAAGTAGCTTTGAACAATAATTAATATTTTTTGTATATCAGCTCAAGGTTGCTTACTTTGATTTAAACATTTATAATGGACTTTTCCCCGTTACAATATTTGCTCTTGCCTCCAAAATAGAAAATGGGGTGTGTCTTGTGTGTGTCCGATGTTCATCATGCATATAGAGACATGCACAGACGTGTGGCCAAGGCACCGAGTAAAAAGATACAAATAATGCAAACCAGGCAGAATTCTGTCCACAAATCTTGTCTTGCGGCCAAAAAGGCTTGCAGAGCCCAGGAGGCTCGGCAGTATCTGGCGCCCGAGGATGACATGAAGAGCACGGAATTTGGTAAATTTGTACGATCTTCTAAAAAGGTCAGAGGTCAGACGACTATGATTCCACCTTCTTGTCCCACTTTCTGTGCTGGCCCATTCGTGAAGAGACTCGACAATGAGAGATGCATGCATACAAGTGGTGCCCGCATTCTCCTTTCAGCAGACTGTGCCGCCAGAAGTTGAGAGATGGAGGCGCCAATTTCTTCCTGAATAGATGAGCAAGATGGAGGCCTTAGTGAAAATAACATCCCTTTACTGAGGAATAAATTTTCAGACGGAAACTAGTTAGTCAAAGAGAGACAGATTGAGACATTTTCCCATGTCCTTATTTTAGCGTCATGCTTTCTCTCAAAAA